AAAAAAAAAAAAAAAAAAAAAATCTTCGACATCTAACTTTATATACTTGTATAGTTCCAAGGGAAAGAGCCCAAAAGGAGGAACTGATGGATCAAAGATTTTAGGGGCACCTGGGTGGCTCAGTGGGCTAAGCATCCAACTTTGGCTCAGATCATGAACTTGCGGTTCATGGGTTCAAGCCCTGCGTCAGGCTCTGTGCTGACAGCTCGGAGCCTGTAGCCTGCTTCTGATTCTGTGTCTCCCTCTCTCTCTGTTCCTCCCCTATTTGCACTCTGTCTCTCCCTCTCTCAAAAATAAAGATTAGAAAGAAAATTTTTTTTAAAGATTATACAAGTCACCGCTGATATATATTCAAGTTCCAAACATTTGTGGATCTGCTTCTGAGCTCACTATTCTATTAATTTTTATATGTCGGTACCAAAATCATACGGTCTCCATTATCAGACTTTATAAATAAGTTTGCTGTCTGATACTGAAAGTCCCCTTTATTCTTCTTCAGAGAGCACTCAGCCACTTTTGGCCCACTGTTCTTCCATATTCAATCTAGAGTCACCCAAGTTACATAAAAACTGTTAGGATTTTTATTGGAGTTGCAATGAATCTATAGATCAATTTGGGGTTAACTGTATTCTTCTTCATTTACATGGAGTATCTTTTCACTTCTTTAAGTTTTCGGCAAGGTTTTATAATTTTCTGTTGTTGCCCTTTGTTGTACTTATTCCTAAGATGATAAACGTATGAAAAGATGCTTAATTAGTAATAAGGATGATGAAAGTACACAAAGTATCATTTTACACCTATTCAGTGGGGGAAAGCCTGACAACACCAAACAGCACAGATAATGTAAATGAATCAGATTTCACAGACATTGCTGGTGTGAGTTTAAATCAATTTTTTACACAGCCTACCATCTAGTGAAGCAGATCAAAGTATGCCACCACAAAATGTGGCACTTCGGCTTGAGAATCATTTTGAGCTGAAGGCAACTGAGAAACAGCAGGTGCAGGAAGAGCTCTCCACCCTCCCCCTTTCTGCCTAAAAGCAGTCTCCCCTCCTCTTTCCTGTACCACAAAAAGAAGAACACTTGGTAAGGAGACAGGTCTGCACAAACTTACTAAAGAGCCCTTATCTTCCATTAGTTTCCCCCACGTATTTTCCTTTTCCCAATTTACCACCCCTAGAAGCCCAAACATTTTTCCTTTGTCTTGTCACTTCACAACGTACTGCGCTTTGTTAAGTTTTGGGGCTTAACCATTCTTTGTGTATTCAACTGTTTCCCTATGAAGGCCTCCATATGCATATGTCATAAACCTTTTCTCCTGATAATCTGACATCTGTCAGTTTAGTCTGCAGGGCTCCAGGAATGAACCTAAGAAGGTGGAGCTCCAACACACTAGCAGTTACACACCTAAGAAAAAAATAATGTATAGCCACACACGTCATGGATTAATTCTAACAACATACTGTTGAATGAAAATGTTAAGTCCCAGAGGACAATATACGCATGATACAGTTTTTTATGAAGTTCAAAGACAAGAGAAACTTAATATTCAAACATATAGGAAAGCATTTTTTTAAAGAGAATAATTAACATAAAAATCAGAAAAACGGGAAGAGGGTAGCCAGGCAATGAACTAGGAGAGATTCACATAATGAGACTTAAATTATAGGTATTGGTGGAGCTCACAGGTAATCAGTATAGTGTAAACAAACACACAGAGGTCAATGATGACAGTGTGTCTGGAGCCAGGATCATGATTTATCACATTCTTGCGCTGGAAGTCCAATTAAAACAAAAAATGCACGGGAATTACACATTTCCTTGAAAGGTTTAACAACCTACATTATAGAACACTTCGTCAATAGGGTAAAATTGTAATAGAGATTTTAATACTACCAAGACAGCCACAAACTAGACTAGGGCAAAGAAAAGCAGAGAATTCTAATTATTCAGAGATGGTGAGAATGTTCCTTGAGGGTTTGACAAAGGAGAGATTTTTATTTAAAATAAAGATAATTTATTTTTGACAAAGGGAAACCAAGAGTCTATGAGGAAGGAGCTGAATTTAGCCCAGAATAATGATCAGGAGCTAGTTCAAACCTAGTAAATAGGTGAGAAACATTAGAAACAGTAACCACAATTACACTGTAATGAGAGACAAGAAACACAAGAAATCCAGTAAGTAACTATTCATTGACATGGATTCAGCTCAATGAGAAAGGTGACTAAACTCACACAGCACGGAGAATACTAGCACACCATCTATCTATCTATCTATCTATCTATCTATCTATCTATCTATCTATCTATTTGAGAGAACGTGCACGTGCATGCACACGAGCAGGGGAGAGGGGCAGAGGGAGAGAGAGACAATCTTAAGCAGGGTGTGGAGCCCAATGCAGGGCTCAATCTCATGACCCTGGGATCATGACCTGAGCTGAAATCAAGAGTTGGATGCTCAACCCACTGAGCCACCTGGGTGCCCCTAGCATCACTCTTAAAATACCGTGCCAG